ATTAGCTATATAGACCAAAACCACTTTTTGTACCAGGCTGTAAAGTTGGGCAGGAGTCAGGCAGAAATGCAGCGAGTGATATATAAGATTGTGGAAATCCCAGTTGACAGGCATATGGGCAAACCGCTGTCTCTTGGCACTGCAGTGGGTCACCACAATGTGCTTTGGCACCGGCCATAGTGGGACAAAGGTCTAGCAGCTCAACATTACATACTTTCCTGAACTCTCATTTGACCTCTCCCATGAGCTGGAGCAACAGTTTGTTTTTAGTGCAACTGTATTTTACAGTCGTGTGAGCTCATATTTAGCAACCATATGCTTCCAAAGATGTTAACAAAACTATTTAGCTTGTATAATCATTTATACGTTCATCTGATTTTGTTCCACTTAGCATAATAAACTTAACTGCTACAATTTGTAGAATAGAACTATGTACACTAACATTCACAAAGCCTTTGCTTTAAAGCTTTTATTTGTATAAAGCTTTCTACCACACACAAAGCTGACCTATTTCATCATGATATCTGTGATTAAGCATGATTAAGCAGCATAACAAACATAATTGCTAATTGACTGCCCCCAAAATAAGTCAATTTGTTTATGCGAAAATTGCTTTTCAAAATAAATAGTCCCAAAGCTGATCATTTTCATCATGTTATCTGTAATTAAGCTGTTCCACTAAGCATAACAAACATAATTGCTAGGATTTGCGCAAAACTATTCAAATGACTGATTTGTGTAGCTCTTTTCAAAATAAATACGGTTCCTTTTTCCTCATGTTCGTCTTAAGTTGTTCCATTTAGCATAACAAACTAAATCACTAGGATATGCAGCATAAAACTAGAAAAATGCACCCCAAAATGAGGCAGTTTATTTATTTGTAAAGTGCTTTTCATGATAAATATCGTCCCAAAACTCACAATTTTCATCATGTTATCTGCGACTACATAGCATACCAAACTTCTGTGTATAACTATGAAAATGCACACTGGACAGCCTTAAAATGACTCAATTCAAAATCAGAATTCAGTTTTTTTTACTAGTATAGCACTTTTCACTATACATATTTTCACATATTCCAAAACTACCTAAATTGCCTTGGAAAAAAAAAACATGCAGAAACCATTCAAAATGGTTTCTGTCTAAACATGAGACAACAAAACAGCACTTAGAGGAAATATCTCACGTCGCACTCCCAGGAATGTCTCTGTGAAGACCTTGCAAAACCACAGGGCAATGTTTTGATCATCTTAAGAGTAACTGTCAAGCAAGATATGTCATTATGTACGCAGCTGTTTAAAGTTCTCAGTAGAGGGTGCCATAGAACAAGTCCATGATACAGTATAGAGATTCTGCCAAGGCTGGGACCACAATATTAAGTACTATATTAAAGTAAAGGGTAATTGTGAATCAACATGGCAACCCTCTCAGCAGGGCAGCTCCATATGCTATGCGCGATTCACTGTCTTCTGTGTCTCCGTGGCAGACCTCAAACACTGACCGTACACTACAAAATTTCCAAGGTCATGGCGAAAAGGGGTGTGTTGCGCATGTTTGTGCAAGTCTACAACTGGCACATGCTGCACGAACTGAAGAGGAAACAGGAAGGGAGACTATTGTACATAGCCATGACAGGTTTTAAAGGCTCAGACGTGACGTGCACATAGCAACAGCTCCCAGACTCCTGGATTTAAAACCTCCTCCTGTTTCACTTCTCAGTTGCTATGACTATAAGGCCCTCCACTAAACGTCTGTTTGTTTCTAACCTCAATACTGAAGATGACAAATGCTGTGAATCCTAAGCTTGGCTGAAATGCAGCAGTTGTGAAAATGCATCAAATCACTGAACAAACCCCATTTTATTGTGATGCATCTGCTCAGCGAAGTTTATTTAGATTCTGTGTACTGCTTGCATAAAACATGGTTTTAAACACAGCAAAATAGTCATTTTAAAATAGATAAGCAAAATGAATAAACAAAAAGTGCTGTATGTATGTATATATATATATATATATATATATATATATATATATATATATTAATAAACAATAAAGTGCTATAATCTATATTTCTAAAATATTTTATACATTAAAATTAAATACTATAACTTATTATTTAACTATCTTAAAGAGTATGATGAATGAATAAAAAAGTGCTAAAATAGATTTATTAATTAATCTGGTCAAATGAAATTTAAAAACCTATATGCACATATGTTTATCATTATAAAAAACATTTGTACCTGTATGTATGTGTAATACACACACTCACACATTAACACTGACATTAATATATAAAAAAAATGCTGTAATCTAGATTGATAAAATCTATAAATATATAAAATATAACTTTTATATCAAAGAATATGAAGAATAAACAAAAAAGCCCAAATATGCAATCAATAGCCTGTCTAGTGTTTACAAACACAGGGTTATAGCCAAAGGGGAAGTGTGGGGAGAGAGAAAAAACACATGCAACTGCAAGAACCACAGATGAATCCAGTACAAACTCAAAAAATCCCAGACTCATCCTCATGTTTAACAGTTTAACAATTTAACCGGCCAGTAACCACTAAGTGTAACTTCCAACATCTACAGTCTAGTCAGTGAAGTGAATTTTAAATAAATATAGTGGCCACTTGAATTCAGTAATATAAACTTTCACTTTCATAATTTAAACTATCATTGAATTGCATCATATACAGTAGGTTCCAAATGTATGAGGGTACTCGTTAAAAAGTGTGCAAAAAAAATCATAAATTCTAGAGTAAAACTATTTGAATGAAATATAGATTTAAAAACAAATATTAAGTTCATAATTTCTTAGTACTTCATATTTAACATATTTAGTCTAATACTAGGTTTACTCTAAGTTACATTTTAAAAAATGTTTTAATGTGGTGTCAGATTTTTGTCTACATTACAAACTGCATGTCTAATTATATTGGTCATCTGCCATTAAAAAGACCAAGTTGACCAAGAGATGTTTCAGTAAAACCAAGACATTACCAAAACATCTGTAATGGTGTCTAATGCACGTCACTGTGGTGTACCAACAAATGCTTTGAACACTGCGTTCTGATCTGCTGAGGTGAATCCAGACTCGAAACACACACACCTAACAGCATAAACACGAGTCAGTGAGAGGTCCTCGTCAAAACACTATTCTGATAAAAGCAAGCCCTACAATTTACCTGTGATTTTGCACAGAGATGCATTATGTGCTGTCTCCCATGAACAAGGACAAGAAGGCTTTTAAGATAATTTGCTGTTCCTGTCACTGTTTACTACCACATTTTAATTCATGAGGTTTTCGTTGTTGTTGTTGATATTCTGTTGCCAGAAACTGAGTCATTGCCATTGAGAGTTTAAAAGGAATAGTTCACCCAAAAATGACAATTCAAGAATAATGAATGTCATTCCAAACCTATATGACTGTTGAAGAACAGTTTTTGCCCATAATGAAAGTCAATGGAGGCCAAAACAACATTGGTGGTGCGTTTTTCAAAACATTATTTTTGCATTCCACAGAAGTCAGTTAGTCATACATTTTTGGAATGTCATTAAAGTGAGTAAATTATGATAATTTTCTATCTTTATTTTGGTGAACTTGATATTAAAATCAGTTACTTTAGATTTACTTTAGATTTAGTAACTTTAGTTACTTTCTTATAAAGTGTTACCCAAGAAATCCATTTATTTTTTAGGATCTGAAGTTAATGAATATGTAAAATGTTTTAACATTAGTTAATGCATTAGGTATTGTGAACTAGAATTCATTAATATTGGTTAATTGCATATACTGCATATTGCATATACATTTGTATAAATGGTGTATGTATAGTTGTACATTAACGAACATGAACTAGCAATAATCTTGTAAATGAACATGAACCTACATTAACAAATGCTGTAAAAATGTGATGTTTATTATACAGTGTTACCCAAGAAATATTTATTTTTAGGGTCAGAAGTTAATACATTTGTTAAGTGTTTTAACATTAGTTCATGTGTTAGGTATCGTGAACTACAATTAATCTGTAACACTTTATTTTAAGGTGTCCTTTTTGAACATTAAAGCATGTCAACATATTCTGTTACACCAAATACACAAAATAATGAAATAGCATCATATGACCCCTTTAACAAATATGTGGATGTTTATCCTAGTTCATGATACTGTCCCTAATGCATTAGCTAATGATTTTACATTATAAAGCGTTACGCAAGAAATAAATTTATTTAAAACACCAATTGGATCCAATCCAAGTGGTTTTTACTGTGTCGTTAAGTGGTTGTTGGGCTGTTGCTACGTGGTTGCTTACTGGCCCTAGTCAAACAAACCCATTTATGGTCTGCCATACAAAAATTTTATGAATATTGCTTCATTTCTGTAGCATAAACACTGCGGAACAAGTTACATTCCTAATTTGAATATTTATGGTTAGGGGTTTGATGAAATCTCTCCTTCTTAGTAAGAGCAGTGCTAATAGTGATGCTTGCAGAAAGACAGAGAGAAAGCCATGGAGGTAATCCTAAAAAGCAGACTCACGGTGGGGGCATCCCGGTTGTCTGAGTGCTCAGTCAGTGCGGGACTGTGTTTGGGTTTCCTGTTTCTCTGAGCCTCACGTGGCGGCAGCAGCAGATGCCCGTCACCCTCCTCTGTGACCCTCACACCTGGAGATGGGACGTTCTCTTTATCACCCTCGACCCTGAGAAAGACACAGTTTTGCTTTCAGACACCACAGAATCAACACGTGATGTTACTCAAGGGATCAACTCATAAGAGCAGAGCAGAAATGAAGCCGTCGCTGTGATACCTCATCTGACTGTTTATTTACATCTGTCTCTGGAGTTGGATCAGTATGTGTCACACAGCACAACTGTTGAGTCACTAATCTAATGTTTTCAGTGTCTCTATGGATAGTTCCTGTCAACAGGATTAGTTCGATTGCTCTGAGAACCAGCCAGCAATGACCCAAGCTGGAATGGAAATAAGATTGGATGACAGATTCTTTAGTAATCCAAATGTATTTATCATAATAATATGGGATTAACTAAATACTTTTGATAGGTTACATTTAGGTTAATATTCACTATATTAGCTAGACTGGCTGGTTTGTAAATTTTTGTCCATTTTAAGATTTTCAGCAATCGACTGATATCGTCTGAAGCTGGACATCCTTGTTAGTGGGCAGAACACATTTTCATTTTTTTTAATACTTACATTTTTTTTTTATATATATGTTAAAATATCTTATATGCTAGCATGAAGTTGTATGACATGTAAATTATATATAAACTGTATATACATTACTGTAGGGTACACCAAAAGTCAGAAACTCTCCACATCATTGAATCTGTGATCATTAATTTTTGGAAACCTGGAAAATATTAAATTACATTACATTAATTACATTCGTTCATTAAAGAACGACTAAAATAAATATAATAAAATATGATGGTTTTGAAATAAATCTGACATGCTTGCCATGGCTGCATTTATTTGATTAAAAAATAATCAGTAAAAACAGTAATTTTGTGAAATATTATTACAATTTAAAATAACAGATTTCTATTTGAATATATAGTAAAATGTAATTTATTGCTGTGATGTTAAAGCTGAATTTTCAGCATCATTACTCCAGTCTTCAGTGGCACGTGATCCTTCAGAAATCATTCTAATATGCCGATTTACTGCTCAAGAAACATTTCTTATTATAATCAATGTTTAAAACAGTTGTGCTGCTTAATATCTTTGTGCAAACAGTGATACATTTAATGATTCCTTGATTAATAGAAAGTTCAAAAGAACAGCATTTATTTGAAATAGAATCCTTGCTAAATAAAAGCATAAAAAAAATCTAACTGACCCAAAACTTTTGAATACTGGTATATATAGTTATTCTAGTCAATTCAGTGATTTCTCTGTCAATCAGGTTTATTCAGATCACACAGAATGACATCAAAAGGCTTGCTAATTACTGTGGGAGTCGCTTCTAGAGATCGGCATCACAGATGTGAACTGCAGCGAAACTGTCAATGTAAGTTGATGAAACCATTTTTGATGAGTGGTGAAACATCTTGGGAAACCAAGAAACATGTAACACTGACTAGAATAAATTGACTGGATATTCTACAATGACCTGGATAACTGGTTGCGCACTGCATAGACAACTTAAGCTACCATGCCATTTGGCTGCAGTCAATAGAGGCGAATAATAGCTGTATTTCTGGAGAAACCCGCTCCTACCTGAAGTTCTCCTCTTGTTCTCGTAGATGTCTCCTCCTCTCTCGGGCTGTTGTCACAGGAGATGAAGATTGGGCAGTCGGATCCAAGCCCTCTGAACTCTGACCTGTGTGCATTTGCGAGTTGAAGAGGTGTTGCTCGACCGCTGAGCGAATGGTCTTCTCCAGAAAACTGGACAGAGAGAGAGAGACAGACATGATTGCTTTATGATTGCTTTAATTACATGAACAATGAAAGTTATCGGTCTATTCAGAAGATTGACTTGAAGATTTATTAAAAGAATTTAGTTGTCACATAAGGCTCTGTATAATCACTCACTTTGTTAATTCAGGTCTGCAGTGTCCAGGAGAGATCTGTGAGCTAAAGAAAGAGAAAAACACAATAAAGAAGAGAGAAAATACTGAATTGTTAAGCTTAGCATCAGTTCCATCCAATTGTATCCCAAGAGAAATTAATAACCAGATTTTTTGATATTCTGAAAGAAATTAATATAAAGTGGTGGCCAAGCTGTATTATATGTGTGTGTGTATAGACTCCATTATAGTTGCTCTAGTCAACTCAATGTGTTTGAATTAGTTGTAAAATGACACAATGACATCAAAATACATCATTGTTTTGAAGCCAGAAAATCTCCTATTGGTTTAGTGACCTCATCTGACCATCCAAATCAAAGAAACAAATATGACTTACCACAAAAAACAAAAAAAAACAAAGCTAAATTCTCGTGGATTGGAAACAAAGTTCCCTAAAATGACACCACAGTAAAAAATAGCGGCATTATCTTTTGTATCCGGAAATAGGCTGAGGGTCCGGACACAACAGTTCCCAGCAACTCTCTCAGGGTCAGAGCCAGTTAACTGCTCACAGCTGACTACTCGCTATTTAAAAACCATGAGCAAACTATTAACTTGGTATTGAGCGGTATCAAAAGGAATGATCGTTAGATGCAAACGTAGATGGTATCAAAGGCTACCAAGAATAGGCCAGTGAGAACAGTTATGTGTTGAGACAGAGGACTAAAGATGATTTGATGAGGTCTGTCGGTCTTATATAACACAGCGGTCATACGGTGCACTCCAAGGGCGAGGATGACGAGACCTGAATGCTGGACTGAGTACAAGCTGGCACTAAATACTGCTAGTCTGCTAACCTAGTCCTTCCATATAGTCATCCTCCAAATCTAGTTCACAGTGGTCGGTGAAACATGGGGGAAACTGGCGATGATTAAAGAGGCCAACATTAAAGATGTGTTTGTTACCTAAAATAATAACAAATCAAAACATGACAAATGTAATATATACACACTAAATTAAAATATATTTTTATAACTAGGAATTTACATACTTTATAAATAATTTCAGTACCGTAAAAAGTTTGCGGTTTAGTACAATTTTTTTTAAGAAATAAATATTTTATTCACCAAGGATCCATTAAATCAATCAAAAGTGACAGTAAAAACATTTATAATGTTACAAAAAAAATCTATTTCAAATAAATGCTGTTCTTTTGAACGTTTGATTCATCAAAGAATCCACAAAAATATGAAGCAGTAGAACAGTTTTCAACATTGGTAATAGAAATATTTCATGAGCAGCAAATCAGCATATTAGAATGATTTCTGAAGAATCATGTGACACTGAAGACTAGAGTAACGATGCTGAAAATTCAGCTTTGATATCACAGAAATAAATTACACTTAAAAAATATTCAAATAGAAAACAGTAATTTAAATTGTAATAATATTTCACAATAATATTTATCAAATAAATTCAACCTGGGAGAGCAAAATAAAAACAAAAACTTGAACACTGATGCGTACAATATGTAACATTATGTCTCTCTCAATAGATCTAACCACAATCGAAAACTCCAGAACTATAAAAGCCTATATTTGGCAGGCTAAAATGATTTATTCACTGACTGACATCTTCTCCGACATGATGCCAAGTAGGCAAACACACTTCAACCATAAACTCACTCCAAGAGGTTAAAGTTTCCAGAAAATACACTCGTAAATTGATTTGCTTGCATTCCTTAATGACAGTGAAATGCAGTGTGAGGAGATCAATAAAAGACATTAGAAAAAAGCAACCCAGATCAGTTAAGAATTCTCAGTTAAGAAGTCACATGGGCTGGTAATGACATGTGGGTGAGTACATAATGAACAGAACTGTCCTTTTTGTGTGAACTATTCCTTTAAGGCTCATATTCACAACAATAGTGAGGGCTGGGTTGGGTAAACTATGTGATGGGAAATGTGTGAAGGGTCAGTTGCTATGGTACGAGAGGGGACCGGAGCTGATGCAATGAGTCAACACATGAAGGAACCGAGAAAACAACCACAAGAGAGGTTTATTTTGACCAGATCCATCACGCTCAGACTGAATTCAACCAGAAACTATTAGCACGTATCCCTGACGTGACACTAAGAGGATTTCAGTTGTTTGAGGGATCATTTGTGCGTACTATTGTGAAGATTTGGACAAATAACATTTGTGATATTTACTGTACTACCACATAATCACCTACTGATGCTGAACGTACAAGAACAAAGTTGTGACAAATCTGAGGGCGTAAATTGAGACCTTGTTTGCACAATAAAATGTCTAGATCATTTTCATTGTGAAGATATATTGTAAAAAGCCCATTCATGCCTCCGAAATAATAGCCTCCGGTTTTTCAGCAAAAGTGGGGAAACAAAGAAAGAGTGAGGAAAAACTGTGAGTGGTCCTACCTAATATAGAAAGGAGATATTGGGCTTTCATCTTCTTGGAGGCTGGAAAAAACGAAAACAGAGGTCAGGCTCACTGAACAGCACAATCTAAACATATGTGGCATTTGCCAAAGTAAACAAAACAGTTTCCAGGGAATGCATGAACTGATAAAATGTATTGAATACGTTATGAGTTGCTTTGGGTAAAAGCGTATGCTGAATACATAAATGTAAAAGTGAAAAAAAGTGTTAACATTTCATATCAATTTAGCTTCTCAAGTAATTACAGTTTAGCTTATCATATTTGTATTATCTGTATCCGTGTTATTATTATTATTATTATTATTATCATATTTTGTCTTATCTTTATTTTTGTCTTGGATGGAAATTTTGTTAGTTTGAAGGATGTTTATATATACTGTGTGTATATATATATATATATATATATATATACACACAGTATATATAAACATCCTTCAAACTAACAAAATTTCCATCCAAGACAAAAATAAAGATAAGACAAAATATGATAATAATAATAATAATAATAATAACACGGATACAGATAATACAAATATGATAAGCTAAACTGTAATTACTTGAGAAGCTAAATTGATATGAAATGTTAACACTTTTTTTCACTTTTACATTTATGTATTCAGCATACGCTTTTACCCAAAGCAACTCATAACGTATTCAATACATTTTATCAGTTCATGCATTCCCTGAGAATCGAACCATGATCACGGCATTGTTAGCAACATGCTCTACTTTTTTTCTTCTTGTTTTAAGCACAAATAGTTGAGAAAACCTTAATTGAACTGAAAAAAGACTTGTCTTTAAAATGAACGGTCACACTTTATTTTAAGGTCCAATTCTTCAGCATATCAAACTATAGTAAATAATAGTAAAAATAGTAAAATTGGTCCCTATACTAAAGTGTTACCAAATGATCTTATTTATCTAGGATGTTTAGGTTTTGAACTGTAAAACAATACCTTTTTTATATGTAGCTGAAAGTTAAATCAGCGTTGAAAATCAGTGTTTATATGTCGTTGAAAATTAAATCAGATATCAAAATATTTCAAAAAAGAATGCAAGGGGCATTGGATTTGTATAACTTTGTCAATGATGGTCAGTCAAATCTGTGTAAATTTCTGTGGCACAAATTCTTGTTATAATCCATTTAATTGCTATGTTTGGATTGGGTTTTAAAAACCAGTTCTAAAAATGTGGAGATGATTGAAAGGTCAGTTCACTGTGTGATTTGGCACGCACCATTCAGAAGTACGTGCGACGTTGCCATGAATGCTGTTGTAAGATGTGTGTGTGTGTGTCAGAAGGGAAGTAAATATTTGTGTGATTCGAGTGCTGGCTGCACTGAATCACAACCATCCAATACAAAGGATTTACGTCCTGTTCACACAGGAATAAACCAAAAAAGAAATTCAAGTCCATTTGGCTCCAAAAAGCTCAAGAATCACATGATTTCCGAACAAAGATCTTGGGCATTTGTGTGTGTGTATCAAGGTGCTTCCCTCTTGTTGTAAAATGTGAAATGCGTAAATTGCCATCTCACAGTAAATCCTGCTAAGAATTAGGGTACCGCATGTACCTACAAAGACATTTCGCAAGATTTCTTGAAGAATCGGAGTAGAAGGGAAATATTTTTCCACATCACTGAAGCTCTTAAGTGGTGTTACACAGTCTGACAAGGGTATTAAAATAATAACTGCCGTCATGAATTACAAAATGGAAATCCTGCTTAGCCACCACCTCCCCGAGTGAACAACAAGGTCCTTTGACAAAGCTTTTGTTTTATGGGAAATCATAGAAAAGTACCAATTCACAACATCAATGATCAAAGATTAATCAACACATTAATCTACAGGTTCCTCATTGCAAACATCATAAGAACTTCTCACCAAATCCATTCTTGAGATGCATTTGCAGATAACTCTACAGCAGGCACAGAAGTATGCTGTAATCCAACTAATATTTGGCACAAAGGCGAGATTGTGGGATTTCTGTTCCTTTCAAGGGCCCACAGGAAGATGCAAGGTCCACATATACGTACAGAAAGTGACAGCAAGCTGACAAGACCGCTAGATCAACTAAAATACTGTACTGTTTTCTAAAATCCAGGTTTAATACTGAAGGCTCACCTGTCGGATGAAATATTACAATTACAGTTTTCTAAAAGTGATTCAAATCTCATCATTTTTTTATTCCACAATCCTCATGCAGTAGCTGTTGCTAAAATTGCACAATTGACAAAGTCTTGAAGATAATGTTTAGTCTTAAATGGTACAGTTAAACCGGGTGTTGGGTTTGAAAACATCAGCTGAAAAGGAAAGTCGTTTCAGAGGTAGAGCAAGTTATTGAATTTTGTTGAAAGATTTTGAAGACACACGTTTTCATTGGGATAATATACACTGATGAATTGCACACCACTTAATATTACTTAGCTTGTTTGTTAGACTGTTTGAGATGACATTTACCCCAGACCGTGTTACAGAAGTTTGATGTGAGACGCTCTCACATCAATTGTTCTTATTGACATACCTATATGCTTGTGGTGTCTATGTAAACAAAAATCAATTTTTGGACAATAACCACATTTTCAAACATGTTGAACCTGTCTAAAGGACTGGTGTGTGTGTGAAAATGCATAGTTCACCCAAAAATTAACATTCGTTCCTATACAAAAATGGCTAAACATTTAGTGGCGTTAAAAGACAACTAGCTTTCTACAGCTATACATATATACATAAACAAATACACACACACACACATATATACATATATATATATATATATATATATATATATTATATGGAGAGAGAGAGAGAGCGAGAGAAAGATAATTATTTCAGTAACACTTTAGTGTAGAGACTAATACTATTTGCTTTTTAGCATGTATATTACTAGAATATTGGCTGTTTATTAGTACTTATAAAGCACATATTAATGTTCATTCAGAATTACCATATTTTAGATCCCTTAATGCTATTCCATACCTAAATTTACCAACTACCTTAATAAGCAACAAAGTAGGAGTTTATTGAGGCAAAGGTTGTAGTTAATAAATAGTTAATAGTGAGAATAGGACCTTAAAATAAAGCGTGACCATTATTAGTCATGTTCATTAGAATTAGTATGTCTCGTGTACATGACTCAACTTAAAACCCTTAACCTGACTCTGCAAAAGTAGTCTAACTAGCATGTAAGAGTCATCTAACTTCAGCCGAATGCTAAAAACCCATGAGACACTAGCATATTTTCTGTCCGTTTACAACATGTATTACAGAGCCATAAAAGGACAAGTGTGACAAGAAAAAAGGATAATGTACTACACTATATTACATTTATGACTGCTATAATTTAACAATCTGATAAGTGGAAATTTTGAGTGCTTGTATATTTAGATTTTAAAGCTCAGTCACAGAATTATCTAACGATGACACTTTTTTAAAAACGAAATGCTAATTTTAGTGGAATCTTAAAGTTTCACCTAAGGAAAATTGCTGAGAAAAGGAAAAAACATGGAGATCTCTTTATAAGCTCGTTAAAAGAGGATGTTCAGTGACATGCTCAGGCTCCATGATGAGAACAGTTGAGAACCATTTATCTGTGTCTTATGATCAGGATAGGGAAATATTGGTAAGTACAGTGCAAATTAAGAATAATAAATAAATAAATACATAATTATCCCACACACAAGTGCACTGTGGCAGCTTAGATAAGAATTTAAGAGCTTTTAATGTTGTGAAACTGTGGGCACCTGATCTCGTCTTTTCGAGATTTCATTGGATTATTGTCTGATATTGAATCTTTTAACTTTCTTTGGCTCTTCTGTAGCCCTGCCTTAAAGATAAAGAATACAACCTAAAGTAGGTAATTAACCTGCATACATCAGATAAGATAACATTTCACACGATTATATTTGTATTGTTATGTACTGTTTTGCCACTCTACATTTTTACACACAGTACATGGTATATAAAATAAACTAAAGTTCAATAAAAGGGCACATTCAATTTATCAAAAGTGACAGTAAAGACATTTATAGTGTTACAAAAGATTTCTATTTCAATTAAATGCTGTTCTTTTGAACTTTCTAATCAAGAATCCTGAAAAATGTATCACGGTTCCCACAAAAATAGCAGCACAACTGTTTTCTGCATTGATAATAAGAAGATGTTAATAATAGGTTGATAATAATAATAATGTTTCTTGAGCAAATCAGCATATTAGAGTGATTTCTGAAGGATCTTGTGGCACTGACGACTGGAGTAATGATGCTGGAAATTCAGCTTTGTATCACAGGAATAAATTACATTTTACAATATATTACAATAGAAAACAGTTATTTTAAATTGTAATATGATTTCACATTATTACGTTATTTTTGGAACAAAGAAATGCAGCCTTGGTAAGCATAAAAAAATACCGTTCACGCAGCAGTAAATGTCCATGGGAAGCACACTGACCTGATCTCTGTGGATCTGGCAGGGCTTACGGTCTGAGGACTCGGGTTCATGCCGTCAACACTTGAGCTGATGCTCTGGTCTGGAGTGTGTGGAGGAAACTGAGCACTAGCACCCGAGCTTCTGTCTGGAAGATGGGGCAGAGGCCTGGAGACGGGATTACCGGAGGGAGCCGGTTGAGGAAAAGATCTCGGCACAGCCTCTGTCTTTATCTTCTTCACCTGAAAGACAGAAATAAAAAGAAAGATGAAGATAGAGGGACAGAAATGTAGATTCATTACAAGTTGGATGACGCCAGGAAACACCAACATGAAGATAGTTATGCAAAGCACAATAATAAGTAAAAGGTATTTATGAATAAGCTTAGTTCACATTTGTCTTACCTTTCTAACCGATAAAGGCTGTACATGTCGAAAGCCAGATGAATAAGTGTAAGAGGTAAAAAATCTCAGGCGCACAAGAGCCCAGTCAAATTCAGATCGATTCATTGCCACTTAATGATGCAAACGATAAACAGACCTTAAACCATTTGTATTTGCAAGACTGCAGCAAACCATGGCACCAGCACCCTGGGACCACAACTGTGTTTGGCCAGAAGAGAGTCTGAAATCTAAACTTTTCAGCATTGATTTGTGAATAACAGGCCGATATCTCACAGCAAAGTGGAAGAGATGACGAAATTTAACTCCCAAAGCAAATGAGTTCAAAGTCACGTAACACAAAGACCACAACAGGATTAGATTGATCTTCAACGCACTTAGTCCTGAAGGCACAGACGGTCAGTAGGTAATGGCTTTGACCATGGTAAAGAGGACGCTATTGATCGCAGCCCACGTGGGACCCATTTAAGGCACAGTAACTAAGCGAGATCTGGACATCGATACGCTAATGTGTTAATGATGTAAACAGCACCGGAAAATCATTGTTTTATTGAGTTCTGCGTTAAACGCTTTCGACTGACTGTTTATAGAAGGGTCGAAGTGCTAACGTCATGCAAAAGCACAGGACGCTGTAGTGTGATCTTTCAAGATGTTAGATGTAATTGAACAGGTTACCTAAATGTGAAAAGTTACATTTCAGTCAGTTCGTCCCATAAACCCATCATATGGCTTTAGAAATTTTGGAATATAGTGCACAGATAATATAAACTTCTCTTATGGCAATTTTTGGCCCCACTACTCATTCACTTACACTATTGTTCAAATAATTGGGATGGGTAAGATCTGTTTATGTTTTTGTTGATGTTTTTGAAATAAGCCTCTTCTGCTCACCAAGGCTACATTTATTTGATCAAAAATACAGCAAAAACAGTAATATTGTGAAATAATATTACAATTTAAAATAACTGTTTTCTGTTGTAATATATTGTAAAATGTAATTTATTCTTGTGAATTTTGAGCATCATTACGCCAGTCTTCAGTGTCACATGATCCTTCAGAAATCATTCTAATATGCTAATTTGGTGCTCAAAAACATTTCTTATTATTATCAATGTTGAAAACGGTTGTGCTGTTTAATTTTTAATTTTTTTTGTGAAAACTATGATTTTTTTTAGGATTCTTTAATAAATAAAAAGTTTAAAAATACAGCATTTATTTGAGTGGTGCATTTCTACTGGATTTGTTTGCCAACTTTAACACCCTCCAGATTTAGAAAAAAGAAGCCGCATTGATTTGAGGTATCAGATTTTAATAAACCAGAGTTTGTTTGTTTTTCCAAGGCTGTCCAGATCTAGAAGTTTCTCTGTCCTCACTTTTCGTTGGTAGAAAGTCTTCCACTAACAAACCTGACTCCCTAGTTACATTTCAACAGAGACTTATAACACACTGAACAGTAAACAAAACCCTCAAAACAAATTATGCAAGCATAAATAGAGATGATAGCTACAACTGATACCCTCAAATATCAATGGTTGGTGTAGTGTCTTACTTTGCAACCAAAGATGCTGTTAATTTTTGTAAACACTTTGAACCTTCTAGATGCCCAAGGCCTTCCCAATGCAAAGTTCGATTAAAAGTAGGACAAATAAGGTCTCTGTAAACTTTGACCCACGTTCAATGACGATTAATGATAAGCAAACCATTAACTTCATGATGACTCTGTGATTGCGTGTCAGTTATTGATCAGAACAATAGAAAAAACAAATCATAAAACTTAATGGCAAGTACAATGAAATCCTCCAAAACAAGGAAATATTCAAGTTTCGAGAGATAACAACAAGTATTCCACTCATGCTATATAAAATAAGTCAATAAATAAAAGAAATGTGCATCTCCTTTATCTGCTAAGGATTTGCAAAACAGTCAAGGTAACTTCTTTCAAACTTGTTAAACTACCACTCCAACGTAGATGTCAACAGATGTCCCGTGTATAAAGTTCTATTAATGCTGGTTTTCCCAAAACAAAATGCAGTAATCCGAGTGAGTCAGTTCAGCTAGTGCTACGTGTTCAACTGAAAAATTTCATTGACCCCTTACGTAACTGGAAACGTCTCCGCTGTAGGAAGTGGTCTTATTTTTCATGAAAGTCACATCAAGTATTTTTTCCATCAGCAATTCTCCGTCTGTTTACGACATCAGTTCACCGATTAGACGGTTCTCCCACAGGCCTTATCTGGCCAAACTCGGTTTGATCAGCACCACATGTCTATGTAAACAGAGGACTTTCAATAGCTTTGGATTTCAAAGATAACACAAAAACACAGCATACGCCGTTGTGTGTTAAGACCTTCCTTGGCGGAGATATTTCGGGAAGGTGGAAGATGGGGAAAAATATTTCAGATTTATGAATGTGAAGACTCTTTCTTCCAGGAAGCCACAACGAGAATCTTAACTCAAATTACTTCTGGTTAATAGAATAAAGCTGGATGATAAATAAATCAGGCCCATAGAGAATTCAAACAACAAGCACGTGATTATACCATGGAAATTACTCTAATTGCACTTAACTATTGACACTGTAATCCATTTTAATGATTTGACTTAATAAGGTTCTCTCTACAAATGTCTATGATGAAGCAAGTCTCTAAAATAGATATTATAATACCTATATACAGAATATATAGCTAATGTTGGCGATTCTTACCATCTTTTTTCTTGGTGTCAGTATAGAGTTGTCTGGACTTGACTCCTTTTCTCTTGAATAATCTGTATTTTCAATTGGAGTGCATTGTGTGACCTAACAAAATGATAATGATTAATTAAATGATTTCAACATACAATGTATTACATTTAAAGTTGGGCATCTGAAAAAAAAAAAAGTAAATTGTATAAAACATTAAAGAGAGTTGTAGAAGTACATCACCGTTCAAAAGTATCTTCTTTTTTTTTTAATGTTAAGAAATAATACTTTTATTCAGCAAGAATGCATTAAATTGATCAAAAGTGACAGTAAAACATTGATACAGAAACTATTTCTATTTCAAATAAATGTTGTTCCTTTGAACTTTATCATGGTTTCCACAAAAAATATTAAGGAGTTTCCATAACTGATAATAAGAATAATAAGAACTGTTTGTTGAGCAGCAGATCAGCATATTAGAATGATTTCTGAAGGATCATGTGACACTGAAGTAATGATGCTGAAAATTCAGCTTTGATCACAGCAATAAATTACATTTTTAAATATATTCAAATAAAAAGCAGTTGTTTTATGCAGCCTTGGTGAGTGTTAGAGACGTCTTTTAAAAACAATAAAAAAACTTTTGAACAGTAGTGTACTTGGAAAAATGTGTCCGCAGAGGGCAAGTAGTACCTTCATACAAGGTTTTTCAATCTACAGAAACAATATTATTGTTATCAAAACATCATGTCAGTCATTTAAGCGGGTTATGGTTCATACTGCTTCATAGAGAGAACATACACAAACATGAGACCCAGCCCGTCTCCAGCAGACACGTAAACACTACACCGTGCAGTTCTGAGCACGTACACATGACCACCATCATATGCAACTGACATCATTCAATTGAGAGGGAAAATTCAATTTACAGAAAACAGAACTCTCATTCTTTGTGCATTTTCCCATCCGGCATGTACGAGTAATTTCTGAAAATCTGCGAAAACTCAATTACAATATGCCTGCTCGTGCAATTTATCAAGAGAGTAAATACACACATGACTAAGCGACTTTATATATTTATTGACTTAGTGTTTATCAAGAGGTGTACTTGGCATGAGCTACTGTAGATCTGTTCTTCATCTTTCAGTCAATGTTGTTCCTCAGTGCATGAGCAAACACATCCTGTAGTCCACAAAGACACCTTTTGTGTTCCTCAGGGGTGTAACTTTAATACTCATCGGAAAGATAAATACATCACTAGCCGGGGCCTTTAACGGGAATTAAGGTCACAAGAATCTGATCCAAAGTCAGCATGATGTAAATACCAAGATGTTTAATCGAGTTTTATGTCCCAGGCTCATCTGCAGTAAATATCTTCAAGTGCTGAAAAAAA